GGCGCGAGCGGAAGAAATGGAGGAGTGTCGTCGCTGGCCATCCACCTGTTCTGTGGCAAGGACAGACGATTCTGGAAGGCGCAGGACGACCAAAGCCATGTGATCAATGTGGATCAGGCGGAGAACCTTCTGGATGACAGCATCTATGCGGCGCTGTTGGAAGTGGCATGTTCAGGTACTCTTGACATGCTGTTTGGAGGGCCTCCGCGTCGGACCTTTACTGTTCTTAGGCACTTTGCGCTGGACGTGTCTGGTGGTGGACCCCGTCCTCTACGTGCTCGCCATGGGCCAGAGCGGTTCGCCTTGGAAGGGCTGACTGACTGGGAGTTGAGGAGGGTCAAGGGCGACTGCATCCTGATCTTCCGGATGATCTTTCTACAGCTGCTTGCTGAGGTGGAGGCGCGCAGAAGGAGGAAGATGAGCCCTACCTTCTTGATGGAGCATCCGGGCGACCCTGAGGAATACATGGGCGATGGGGATACCGATTACCCCAGCATCTGGGCGTGGCCGGAAGTGGAGTTCCTGATGAATGTCTTGGGGTTGAAGAAGTGGGAGTTTGACCAGGGCCCTCTAGGACATCCGAGGAGGAAGCCTACGTGTATCCTATCGAACCGGGAGCCTCCAGATGGCCTTCAAGGTTTGCGGGGACGCTCCATTGTGCCGAAGGAGGAGATTGCTGAACACGTTGGTGGTTTTCGATGGGCAACATGGGCGGCGTGGGCTCCAGGCCTGAAGAACATCATCAGGGAGGTTCTACACGAGTCTTTGGATCGTGGGAAGGCCTATGCAATGATCCGAAGGTTGGACCGAGGGTTTTTGGACCACCTTCGGAGAGATCATGTTCCATATCGGCGTGACTGTCGGGCATGTCTGGCTGGATACTTCCGAGGTCACCAACATAGGCGCGTGGCTGTGCCTGATGGTTGGACGTTGTCGGTGGACTGTGTGGGCCCGATAAAGAATGGCCTCTCCGAGTTTGGTCCTCAGGTGAAGTATGCCCTGATCGGTGGTCCCGGATGTCGTTGGGAAC